TATTGGAGTTTCACAGTGTAATATTCTATTAATTTTTTAGATTTGTAATATCAAGTATTTGTTTTTCAGATCTATTTGTATTTGTGTATGATTGATGTAATTTGTGCTATTAGTATGGATTTAATGTTATGATGATGTTTTATATAAAAAAAAAAAAAAAAAGTTGGTCAAATGTAATTCAATAATTATGAATATTAGGAACCCAAATTTGGAAGAATGGCTAGATTGGAGCTTAAAACAATAATATGACATTGTAGAGATAGAAGACGCAGATTGCAAGTGTTTGATTCAAGAACTTTTTTTATTATGCCTGGTATGCTGGGAACCTATGTTACTGCAACTAAGATAAAATCAATGCTCAAGCAGTGACAGCCCAAGCCGATTTCGGTCAAGAATCTCTCGCCAAGTATTGTGGAGCGGTACAGAAGGAGCTGAAGTCTATCAATTGGAGTAAGCCCAAATTGGATGGGTGAAACTAAATGTTGATGGAGGATCAAGCAACGGTTTAGGACAAGCAAGAGCAGGAGTACTAATTAGAGATGAAGGGGGTTACTGGTTGAATGGGTTCGGTGTCAGGTTGGGAACTACAAATAACATGGTAGTAGAACTATGGGCCATCATTTATGGGTTGAGTATGGCAAGGGATATTTGTTGCAGAAATATGATCATTGAATTAGACTAAAACGTGAGTTTGGAGCGGAAATGGGGCAGGGAGCTGAATGACAAGGCACCTGAGGAAATCCCACACTACACTCTAATTTAGCATATAAACAGTTGGCTAGCGAAACAATGGAAGTGGGAATTGAAGCATGAATGGCACGAGCGTAACAAGTGCACGGATTATTTAGCAAAACTAATATTCCATTTAATAATTCAATTGAGCACTTAAGTTTAATGAATTCAGATCGTAATATATTCAGATGCATTTGATAATCAAAAATAGAATATTTGAATTAATTAAGTAGTACTAAATTTTCTAACCAAAATATCACATAATGTCAAATACACCCAAATGTATCATATTTAATATTTAACAATTTAATTACTTAATGAATTCGGATTTCAGATTTCAGTTTTCAAATTTCAGTTTTATTAGACACATCCTAAGACTTAAATTCTTTGACGCACCTCCAGAAGAGTTTAGAAAATTATTGAATTTAGATGTCATGGACTTAACTATACTCGGATTGGATGCTATATAATGTAATAGATTGGGACCACAACCGTCCATAGGATATGAAAAAAAAAGTGTGGTGTTTCAATAAGCATATTAACCTTGAATAGTGAGGCAATCAGTTAATTAGGATATAACAAACTAATTATGCCTATGATCCGAAGCTAATAAGTACTGGTAAATTATAAAGGAAATGAAAATTTCAGATTTGCATTGGGTAAGCTTTGGAACTCTAGTACATCTCAAAATTACCCAATACCCAAATCTTGAAAAGAAAAAATCAAAGAAAACTACTAAAAGGCGCACGGCATCATGCTTATCGTTTGATAAAATCCCACAACAAATATTAGTACATGAGAAAAAATAAATTCTAAGAGACTGTCTCTAGCAACTGGACCAAAGCCCGATGGTTAACTTTTCTTTTTCCTGCTCGATCAAGTTACTTTTCAGTAGAGGTGGCAATTTGTCCCAAGTTCCAATAAGCTATCCATACCCAAAAGGACTTTGGGTGGAATGGGTATTATAATTTGATATTGAGTTTAAAATGGAATATATCCTAATTGTACCCATTAATTGATGGAAAATGTTGGGAAATACTTGGGTACCCATTGAGCCCAAATATCTCCCCACCCATATTTGGCACCTCTTCATGATATCAATGAGGAGCCTGTTTGTCCTAGGCCTTTTGTTTTCGATTTTGAGCAGCCATCCTTCACTGAAGAGAACATCAAGGAGTTCATTTGGCGGAAATCTGTAAAATTTAATCCGGATCCTACTCATTGAGAATGGAATTAATGGTGTATAAACAAGTACTTTGACACGACTTCCACTTAATACTTTTTATTGTATCTAGAGTGAAACCCCTTATTAGAATCATGAAATAAAACAATGGAAATGTTGAGGTTAACAAAATTTCTACATAGTAGATCTCAATAGATTTTTCTTCTGTCATTTTCTTTGTATTTTAAATGTTCCAATATTGCACAAAGAAATTGAAGCAGCGTTCACATAGGCTTAACTTACATCTAGGAATGCCAATTTCTCTTTGGGTGATCAAAAAGAAGAATCCCTTCTTTTTTTTCTTTTTTTTTTCTTTTCCGGAGACGATAAACCTAATCTATCCTATACTAAGAGGAAGGGGGCGGGCCTAAGAAGGCCCAAGGATAAGTCGGAGGGACTGAACCACCACCGGACCAGACAGGTGCACAGCACACCCGCCTGAATTTTTTGGAGACAAGCCACTGAAATGTGGTATTTTTGGTGGGAGGCAAGGTTCGATTTTTTGGTGGGACCAAAGAGGTGGTGGCCACTGAGCCAAAGGCCCAGTGGTTAAGAAGGATCCCTTCTTGCTGTGAGCTTGTCTTGTAATTTTCTGTTCAATTGCATAACTTTAATCAAATGTTTTATGTTATCGAGTATCAAGGCTGCTGAGTAGTTGTCCTAAGAACTTGCATAGTTCGTGATTTTGCAGGTCTGAGGCTTGCTACAATTTGACGTTGTAAAAGCACTGTACTATTTCCTCTATTTTGTTGAGACATTTTAACATTTCCTGATAAGGGAGAAGATATGTTCATTTTTATGAAAATGTTACGTCTTTTTAAAATAACTGTTGATCGTTCTAGAGTGTAAAATGAATTCATGAAAATATAAATTCAAAATAAGACTAAAAGAAATTTAATAAATAAAAAATATTAAAGTTATTTTAAAAAATAAAAAATGAATTAAAGGAAAAAAATATGTAGAAAATAGATTTGGGTATTGGGCGGGATCAATTTAAACCCATCCCAAAGTGATCCCGCCCAAATTAGTCCCAAAATACATATGGGTAAGATTGATCCCGAACCCATATGACTTGGTTCCATTTCAAACCCAAGCAAATCACGCCCATCTCGCCCATTTTGCCACCTCTACTTTTCAACATCCTATTGCTAAAAAGCTGTTAATATGTTGCTTAGCCGGACAAGGGGCACAAACGGTTGCAGGTGCAACCGTTTCTGCCGGTTGTATTCATTTTTCACTGTGCGTAATTTTCATTGCACACGGTGTAACTTTCTTTGCACACGACGTAATTTTACAACACTTTTTTGTGGGCCCCACACATGGCTTGAAAATCGAGTTACAAGACGTGATTTGAGTCGCACAAAATTTTTTGGCCAAATCATGGCCGTCAATTGCTAGGAACGGTTCCTGACAACCATTCCTGGCCCCATTTCCTGCTTAGCCATATTCTGACAACCATTCCTGGCCCATTTCCTGCTTAGCCATATGGATACAGTTCTTGATCCTATTGTCGTTTACACTAATGATGACGAGATTTTAATATTTTATGTTTACACTGTCGAATGGTTTGCATCTGCAGATTGAAAGTCAAAATGGATACTCGTCTTTATTTTTCGTTCCTTCATGCAACAATTCATGTACCATTCCTACTATATATTACTCCCTAGCTAGAGGATAAGGGGAAGCTAATGGAACTTGTGTATGGGATAAGAGGAACTTGCAAAATCTCTCTCAAATCTCTCTTGGTAGCCCACTAACTAAAGGCAAAGGCAAGTTGATTACGTGTCTAATCACGTGAACATTAAACTATAAAACAGTCTTGATTCCCTTAATTGTTGATGGCTACTTCATCTCTACTATACAGGCATCTCAAAAAAAGAAAGCTTCTTCTTCTGCTGTTCCTGTCTTTATTTTTAATTTTCTTCGAAGGTTTTTAGTTTATTTTTTCAGTGTGTTTAAATAAATCCCTTCCTTTGTTCTATTTACTTTTGGTTTAATGAAGGGTTTATTCTTCTTATCCCGTAATCAATCTATTGATCTTATTCTCTTAAGGATGAGGGAGGAAGAAAGAAGATAAAATAACAAGAATTTGGTAACGGGGTATTTCTCTTTTCCCTAAATGGGAATTTTCGATCACTAAACTTTTGTTAATCAAATTTTTCTTGGTGATATTTATATTTTCTTCAAGTTTATTGGAATTTTTTTTACTGCAACAGAATGCTCAGCTCCTGGTTAAGTGATAGTGTTAGAAAAGCTTTTTCAAATCAGTGATGTTATAATACATATGCGCTATAAAATTGTACAAATATTTCGCAATGAATGACAACATATTCAAGAGGTGTTACAGAATGTTTTGTTAAATAATTATTTGGAAAAACCCTTTGAAAATAATCATATATCATTTTTTTTATGATGTAATGTGTTTAAAATATAACAAAAATAGGATTCTCACTATGTTGTAATTCTCACAGGTGGCCGATCTAATAAGGATCTTTTCAAGAAGAACAAATATCAAGCCTTTCATTGACCGAATCGCTGCTGGAGAGCCATCTGATTTAATATTTGTTGAAACCATTATTGAGCTAATCATAAGGTAGATACATTATAATAGTTTAAGAATTGTAGCTGTTGGAGAATATGGGGATTACACGTGTATGGTACCTACCACACAGCTATTACAAGAATAATTTCAAGAACTTGACCAATAATTTTGAGGAATTCAAGAAAGTTTCCGAGGCATGTGATCACTCTTCTTAAGGTCTTAGTTGCCCCCACAATCTTGCTAACTGTGTTGAAATGACAAATTACCTTTAGGATATAATGAAACGAAAACTATCTGTAGACACCAAATTTTTGTCAAATTTTGTGTTTTTTTCGAATATTTTCTATTTGATGAGCAATTTATTTTCTTGCATTTTTAAGTATGTTTTTGTCTCATTTTTGCAGATTAAAAAAAAAAAGAGAGAGAGAGAGAAGCCATGATTTGAAAAAAAAAAAACAACTAAACCCATTTGACAAAATCCCTTGGTTCTCTCCTGATTCTCGGGGGACTGACAAAAAAGGGGGAACGGCGCTTTGGGGCTCAAAATATGTACTCTTTCGGCTCTGCCAACACTCAACATTTTGCAGAGGAGAAAACAGACAAAAAAAGCTACTTTGGCTACAAAAATTTCCTCACTCGGCTCTCTCTGAAAAATGGGACAGGCCAACTCACACAAAAACACTCCACTCTTCCTCCCCCAAAAAGACATCCCTCGGCTCTCTCTAGTTTCAGGAGACCAAAAAGACAAGCCACAAAAAGAAAAAAAAAGCACTCCAATCCCTCTCGACTCACTTGGCAGAGGCAGAAAAAAAGAAACGCACGAGAGAGGAGGAAGGGAAGCTCTCGGAATTTTGCAGCCTGACCCCTCACTCTCCCTCTCTCGGACTTGGGCGGAGGAAACAAACAGAACAGAAAAAAAAAATCTTCCCCAACTCCTCTCGATTCCATCTCAACCTCACATACACCTACATTGAGGTATTTTTTTTAGTTTTTGTCTAGCACATTAAATCAATGCTTCATTGTTTAGTTTTCTCTCATTTCTGCTGGCTGCCTCGTATTGTTGTTGTTGCATTGCTGAAATTTGGGAAATGGCATGAACTAGATGAAGGAAAAGGAAATGATGTCTGTGAATGCATATTAATTGTTTGAAAAAATGCCAAAAAAAGATTTTTAGGGACTGTTTTGCCTTAATGTAGTCTTTTGTTATTGTTTTCTGGTTAGTTAAAATCATAGTTGTATTATAGAGGTTATAAGGAGTATTGTAATATATTTTTTATGATTTTTGGTGAAAGATTTGGGTGTTTTAAAAAATAAAAACTGGACTGTATTTTGACTTTTTGGCCACTTTCAGATCATCTTTTGTAAAAACTAACTCCGGAAATGGAACCTACGCGAAAAATCGAGTGAGGGGATATATTTTGAGGATTTTTGGTAACCGGAGAGGTCACCGGCGGTAGCGGTCGGCGGCGGCGGCGCCACCGGCGACCACCATGGCCGCCAGCTGAAGCTTCAGCTCGCCTGGGAAGAAGAAGAGACGGAACGAACGGGGAAGAAAGAAAAGAAAGAAGAAGAAGAAAAAAAAAAGAAAGAAAAGAAAAGAAAGAAAACGGTTTGGGCTAATGTTTTTTCTTCGGTTGGGCCAGGAGTTAGTTTTGGTTGGGTTTTGGAAATGGGCTTTGGTTTATTTTTTCTTTTGGGTTTCGGATGGGCTAAGAGGCTGGAGCCCATGCATTTCTGGGTCGGGTTTGAGTGATAAAATGACGGGCTGGCCTGCTCGTTTCTATGGATTTTCTGTTGGGCTTAGGTAGTTTTCGGCCCAAAGAAATAAATAATGGCCCAATGGCCTTTTTCTCCCCAATCAGAAATCAAATTTTGCACTTTAGCCCCTGATCTCTGGAGTAGTTCACTTCGGCCCAGAATATTTTAAATTCCTTTCACTTAGGTACTTAATTTAATTGCACTTTGGTCCTTGAATTTTATCTTTCATTTAATTTTGACCCTTAAACTTTGGAAAAATATAACTTCTGTCCCTAAAAGTTTTCAATCTTTGCAATTCAGTCCCTGATGAATTTTGACTCTCTTTATTATGATTGTTTCTTTTCTTTAATAACTAATTATGTTATTTTTGAACATATTCAACTTGCAATTTTTAGATGTTCTTAAATTTCTTTGCGTTTGACATGTTAATGTGAATTTAGTATTTTAACATTATTATTATTTTCAATTAAAATGGTGCCATGATTCTTTTGTTCATTGTGAGTATAAATAGGACAATTTGACTCCATTTAGTCACCACTTCAAACGGGAGGTACCCCTATTTTATTATTTCAATGTCAATTACGTGCTCTTATGTGCTCCTATTTGTTCCTATGTGTTTATATATTTTTATATGCTTTATTTACTTGATTTAAATATTCATTCAAATTTTCTTATATATGTTTTAGTTAATTTTTATAATGATTCAAGAGGCATTTAAATACCTCAAAAATGTAATAGATAGGATAATTATATTTGTTTTATTATATTTTTCCCTTCTAGATTGTAGTTAGGCGCCCCCGATGTAATAGATAGGTTGCGTGTTTATGTGGCTTATGTGTTATGTGTTTTGTCCGCTTTTCTTAGGATTTTGGTATCTAGATATTATGTTTACGTGTTATGTGCTACGTGCTCTTATGTGTTTATTTGTTTTAATTTATGTTTTATTTGTTTCGCTATGAATTGTTAATGCATGACGTCACCACACTAGTCCAACGCTAGTTGTGGTTTCTCCCTCCGCTTACTTGCTAGTCCAACGCTAGCAAGGATTTTTAGAAATGGGCTAGTCCAACGCTAGACCCTTTAGGTCATCTTGCGCTAGATTCATCATTGTATGCTATTCACCACATTTTCATGCATATTTTCATTTTTAGGATCTTTTCTCATTTGCATGATATTCCTTATTTTATTATCCCCTACCCGCTATAGGTGCTAATCATGTCATTTAGAATTGCATCCCATTTAAGCTAGTTCATTTGCTTGTTCATGTTAGGATAATTATTTTTCAAACATGGGAAATGGGTGATTATAACTTTCTAGTTTAAATACCCTATTAATCCATGTATAAGAAAATTATGTCACGAATTTTTTTGCCTCCCGTATCCTTTATGTTGCATTCCCTTTTTCTTTGATCACTTATATATATGTATATAATTTAATTTCTTTTCTTTTATTTTCTTTTCTTTTTCATCATTTGCATCCTTGTGACACCTTCGAGGATTTATTTTGACCTTCGCAATTAATGCGATTGGTTCAATTAAACCCTTGAATGAACATGTTGTCCCTTGCGATATTTTTTAGATTTGCATTCATATAGAAAACATCCAAATGTGATAAATTAAGGGTTAGATTAGGAAAATTTTGACTAAACCTCGCAACTAGCTTAGACTAGGTTGAAAGGGTGCCTTAGATTTGAGTTAATCGAATCTTTGCCTTCCCTTTCTTCAACCGTGACTCCCGGATCCATTTTCTCTTGTTTTCAAAGACCTGGAGTTGTCAAAAAGGGTTTTATTTTGTTTTACTTTATTTTTTTGGGTGACTTGGTACACCAAAACTCCATACCAAGTGGCGACTCCTGTTTTTTTCTTAAAAACCCTTTTAGACTAAATTTTGGACCCAAATTGTCGCATTCTTTTTAAGTCCCATTCTAGGTCCCTTTTAACTTGTTTAAAAATAAAATCATATCTTTTATAAACCTCACACTTTATTTTTATTTCCATCGCGAAAAATGGGGCGCGACAACTTGGCGACTCCACTGGGGACGTTAGAGAGTCCAAGCACTTGGTTTAGTCGTCTTTTCTCTCTTTAACCCTTATATTTATCATATTTGGATGTTTTAGGTTGCATTTTTCTTTTTTAGGATGTTTTGCATTTCACACTCGTAATTGTTCCTCGTCTTACGTGTATGTGATGAATGATTTATTTATTTACTTTTGTTTCGCGCTTTGCATTTGGGGGGTGGGGAATATTACCCTAGAGCCTCGCATTGGTTCTCGATCCTTCCCCTCCAAACCAAGCACTAGCATACGTGCATACGTTTTATCTTTTGTCCCTCATTTATTTTTCTTTTAGTGGCTTGTCACGCCACTCTTCCCTGTTAGGATTAGGCGACCCACTTGGACGTGTGATCGCGACACGACGTGTGCGTAGCATGATCCGAGGGGTCACTCAATCTTCCATTTTAAGCTTTGGGTTGATGACCTTTAGCTTTTAGTCGAAGATTGAGGATTTTTGATAGATTCACTTGGACATGTGGCCGTGGCACGACGTGCGCGTAGCAATGTCTGGGGAATCGCTCGAGCCACCGACAAAGAACCTCGGGGTTGATGACCTTTGGTTTCCAAGTCTGAAGGCTCGGGGACCTAAAACCTATCGAGTCTAGATGCATTAGTGAGCCGATACCTCATGCATCCATGATAGTTTACCTAAGGTAGAATCTGTCTTACCCTATTAGTGACACTATTCACGAGGGGAGGGATCCAACCCCTCTTTTCCTTTTATTGCTTTCTCTCTTTGTATTGTTTTGCTACAATGTGTTGTGTATTTGTCTGATTTAACTAACTTTTCTTGGTTTTTGTCTCCATTGCATTCATAAGCCCTAGAAAATAAGAGTCCTGACATGGTACTCTCTAAGAGCCTACCCTATGTGATATGACACGTTTAAATTCAATGTTTCGCATTTACAGCATGAATACATTTCATTTTAGGCTCACCCCGGCATACAAAAGGGGATTCTTTTAGGTCATGTTTCATTTGTATAATGCATATTTAGTCGCTTTGATAAATTGGCATCATGCATTAACCCTAGAGGGAATGCCGTTTAGGGAATCCCATTTTAGGAATATAATAACGTTGTTGTCCCTGGGTAACTAACCCTCTGTGGGATATTCATGTTTAAATCCTTGTAAAACTGGAGAAGTGAGGCCTGTAGGTAAGGTATTTAATCTACATTACATGCTTTAGATGGACAGGCCTCAACAAATCAGTCAGCTGTTAACAGTTCCAATGGAGGTTCGAAGATGGCCAGGGCTTCTTTCATTTAGTGAGATCAATCAGGTCGCCTCCTACCTTGGACCAATTGGGGATTTCAAAGACATTGAGTCAGATGGATATTTGGTAGAAGCTTTAATTCAATTGTGGGATCCCGATGGTTCAACATTTCGGATAGGAAGCAAGGAGTTGACTCCGACCATTGAAGAGGTAGCCGGTCTTCTGAATTTGTCAGTAAAGGGTACAGCAGTGATATTTCCGATTGCTTCTGGCAAGGTTGAATTCTGTCATTTTACTGGACTAAAAGAGTCTGTAGTGCGAGGATCAGATCAGAGCATAGATGTAAAATTTTTGTTTGACAGATTCGCAATGAAAGACGGGTTTGATAAGTATTCGAAGGATTTTTCATTTACATCTAAGGTAACATGGGAATGTAAGAGGCCGCTGGTGTATGGACTTGTGATGGCGGGGATTTATTTGTTTCCTAGAAAAGATAAGAAAATTGGTTTCAAAATCACTAAACTCCTGTCTGACTTGTTTTTTGGAATTAAGGATCAACAAGCCTCTATAGTACCGATTGTGTTAGCTGACATTTTTGTTGCGTGCACCAACTGCCAAAGGGGGTCAAAGTTCTTTTATGGATCAAATCGAATTTTGCATATATGGGCCATGGAACATTTTCGAAGACAGTTGCCTGCTCTTGATGGTCTACCATTGATTGGGTATAATTGGATCTCTACCCATCATAAGAGAGTTGACCAAAGTAATTTGCCAAGAAGTGCATCGAAATGGCTGGACTTTTTGAGGGTATTGTCAGATCAAAAGATTAGATGGGTACTAGACTGGACCGACTGTTTTAACCCTGTTCTGCGCGCCAAGTCATCAGATTTGATACCGTTATTGGGAACTCAAGGCATCATGGCATACACTCCGAAAAGGTTTCTCAGACAGTTAGGACGCATTCAAGGAGTACCACTCACACCTGACTTGACCGATTTCACCATCAGTTTTGGCAAGGGGATCTGTCCAGACAAAATTCCGATGAAAGTATCAATTGTCGAAGCTTGGGAAACACTGTCCGATGATGAGGATATCGCTTATGTTCCGCAACTTAAACAAATGGCTTTGGTTACCCCTCAATACGAGGAGTGGCTCAGAGAATCTGGTGCTGGGCGACCATTGATGGAACAGTCCGAGGAAGTCAAGAAACTAATGGCAATCATTGAGGCGAAAGACACAGAAAATGCACAATTAAGACAATCTGTGAAAGTGAATAAGGGTCTAGCAGAGAAGAATAAAAGACTGTGTGAAGAAATGCAAGAAAGACACCAGGAATTGAAGAGAAAGTGTGGCAGGTTGTATGATCAAACTGAACGCATGCAGAATCCTTATTCCAGAGAGCCAAAAGATGCTGTGATAGATAGATTGAAAAAGTTTAATGATCTTGTACGAAATCAACTTCGAGAAATGATGTAGATGATGTATGATATTTTGAAATCCATCAATGAAATGATCCTTATCTGTTGCAAAGTTATTTTTCGAAACACAGGTTTGATAAACAGGTCTCACTTCGAAGGTGTTGCATCATGTTAGGCCTACCCTTGGCAGAAAAGGGCTCCCCCATAGGACATGCATCCGAATTATTTAGATATCTACTAACTCATGTTTCTTTTCTTTTCTTTCTTTTTTCTTTTTCTTGAATAGATCACAGCAATTTGACAGAAAGTCCAACCCTAAATGAGTTTCTTTTCCCCCCTATCAGGTATTTTTCACAATTGCTATCCAAAGAAGCCCCATCATCACCAAATCCCGAAGTAGAGCCTTGAGACAGTCTGTAAACATGAGTTCAGCGCCTGAAGCTTCAGAAAGATCTGCTATGGTTACATCACCGGACTTCACAGCATTGGGAGCTCAGTTAAATGAGGTACTTGGCAAGTTCAATGAGTTAAGTGCTGAAATGGCCGCACAAAGGCGTGTAATTGATCAGCTGGTCGCTAGCAACAATGGTGGTGGGGTCCCAAACGACCAAGAACCTATCGATAATCACCCACCTGCACAAGACTATCAACCACCCCATACATCCAATACCCAAACACCTTTCTTTCCTCCTTGCGCTAACCCACTTGAAAATACCTTCACCCGACTAAATTCAGACTTTTCCTATATGCATCCGAATTATGTATTGGTGAACCCAACCAGTAGTCAAATCCCTCAAACCCATCCAAAAACCAATCTGAACATTCCCCCCAACCCTCAGGGACCCCACCACCATACTGCAGAGCCTTTTGTACTGGATATTGGATCTCAAGAGAAGGCGGCGATGGAAGAACAACCTACACCCATTGATAAAGATTTGTTAAGAAGGTTGGACCGATTCGATGATTTTATGAGAAAGAATCAAGGGTTGAGCAGGCATGGTGGTTTGGACTACGATGAATTATGTCTTTTCCCAGATATTCAGCTACCGTTGGGATTCAAAACCCCTAAATTTAGCAAGTATGATGGAACTGGAAATCCTAAGACGCACCTCAAAATGTTTGCCAACAAGTTAGGTAAACCTGTGGATGATGAGAGTTTGCCTATGCGTCTATTTCCGGAAAGTTTGGAGGGAGATGCTCTAGATTGGTATTCAAATTTGAAGTCTGAAGAGGTCAAAACCTGGTTGGATCTATCAACTGCTTTTGTGAAGCAGTATGAATTTAACTGTGAGTTGGCACCAACACGAACCACACTGGAGGGTACGAAAAGAAAGCCGTCGGAAGATCACAAGACCTACGCAAAACGGTGGAGAAAGTTAGCTGCCAAAGTGGAGCCTCCTATGACTGAGGAGGAGATTGTTCGTACTTTCATCAAGGCTCACGATCCACCCTATTTTGAAGAGATCTTTCGCATGACTGGAAGTCCATTTGCTGCTATCATTAACAAATTGGAGGAGTATGATGAATTTGTCAAAGCAGGAAAGATTGTTAATGTGTCTGCATTAAAGTTGCAATTAGATGCTCTACAAAATCAAAGCAACAATGGGAAAAAACCCCCATTCAAGAAGAAAGAAGGAGAAACTGCTTTTATATGGGATCAGGGCCCGTCTTTCAGACCCAGAAACCATCCCACCTATTCTTTTCCTTACCCGTATTACACCAATCCTCAACCAGTCTACCACACCACTACCCAATTCCATCATTCTCGACCAAATCATTTGAATACCTCGCCCTTACCTCCAACTCCACAACCTGTTTTTCAAAATCACTCTCGTCCCATTTACCATTCCAGACCAACCCTGCAAAACAATAACCCTTCTCAAAATCCTTTGCAAACCAGTGGAATTCAAACTCAGAGGCAATTTCGAACCTTCACCAACTTGGGCCGACCTATTGATCAGTTGTATGAGCAATTAAAAGCAGCTGGAAAAATTGGCACTGTTCCTCCCAAAATCTATCCTAGAGGTCCTCCTGCCGGTTATGATCCGCATGTAATCTGTGCTTATCATTCTGGAAGTCCAGGTCATACCACTGGCAATTGTTGGGTTTTAAAACATAAAATTCAGGACATGATTGACTCTGGAGACATCTTTCTCAGAAGAAAGGGAGAGCAGGGACCGAATGTTAGTAAGAATCCTCTTCCTGAGCATGGGAGCACTGTGGGGGTTATCATCGCTGATGAAGATTTTGTCGACCCCAGTTAGTACATTGTAGATGAAACTGAAGTATTTGGCGTGATGGAGACTGACCATGCGGAGATGAGGAAACTACTGTCTGTTAAAGAGTCCATAACTAAGGATAGTACTGAGAAAAAATTAAAATCTTTTGTGTTTGAGAAAGAGGAGCCGTTTATGGTAGAAGGAGGGCCCTCCGAGGTTGACAATTCTGAGGTTCCTTTTATTTTGGATCTTCCTTCTTTTGAATGGGATATATCAGAGCCTGCCATTCTCGAATTTCCAGAGCAAATGCCTGTCAATAACTTGCAAGAGGTACCATGGAACTACGAGGAGCCCAGTCTGTTAATTGGGGGTAAAGATTGTTTGAAGGAAGATATATCTACTATTACTAGATCTGGGAAAATTGTGGGAAACTCCGATATTGATGTTCAATCCAGGGCCAAAGTTAAATCTCCGACACCCAAGCCTCGTGTGTCTGAAAATGAAGCTGTAGATTTTCTGAAAATACTGAAAAGAAGCGAGTACAAAATAGTGGAGCAGTTGGATAGGATGCCTGCTCAGATTTCTTTTCTGAATTTTCTCTTGACTTCCGAGCTGCACAGAGAAGCATTGCTCAAAATTCTGAACGAAGCTCAAGTCCCTAAAGATATTCCGGTGGATAAATTTTCTAACATTGTGGGGAATGTACTTGCTGCTAATTATATTACCTTCTCCGATGATGATCTGACTGCAGAAGGGATCGGGCATAACAGAGCTTTGTATATATCGGTCCGTTGCAATGGAAAGCTGTTGCCGAGGGTTTTAGTGGATAATGGGTCAGCGTTGAATATCTGTCCATGGAACACTCTCACCAAGCTTGGATTTTTTGATATTAAACTCCGTCCATCTGCAACTGTGGTTCGAGGATTTGATGGTTCAAGGAGGGAATCTATGGGTGAAGCAGATCTCGTATTGGAGATAGGCCCTGCTCAATTCCAAGTTACTTGCCAAGTCATGGATTTCTCCAGTGTTTACAACATTTTACTTGGAAGACCTTGGATACATGCTTCCAATTCAGTGCCATCTTCTCTGCATCAAATGTTGAGATTTATTGTGAATGATCAGCTCATTACTGTATTTGCTGAGGATGACTGTACCATGATCATTGATGCAAAATTCAAAGGTGAAGACAGAAAAGGGACTCCAATTTCATCTCATCATGTTGCTGACATAGTCTCTGTAGGATGGGCATCTAGGGATAAGTCGTTCACTCAATCAAATTTGCCAGAGGCCAGTATTATGATGGCTAGAGAGATGATCCGAGGCGGATACGAAATAGGAAAAGGTCTTGGGAGGGAATTGCAAGGAATTTTGGAGCCAATAGAGATCCCGACGCAGAAGGATACATTTGGACTGGGATTTCATCCAACTGCTAAGGATAGAAAGGAAATGCAAGCTCGGAAACAAGCCGAAAAGAAGGGCAAACAAACTGCCTTATATATCCCTCCGCTATATCACATTTTTCCTCGTCCATCGGTGGTGATTATGCCTGAAACGAAGAATCCTGTGGAGGAGATTGAAGTAGACCTGTCTCAGCTATTTGTCGGGGCTACTTGTGAGGAGGAGCCATCAGAGAATGCAGAATTTTTGCCAATTATCGAAGGAGCTATTCAGAACTGGACTGCTGATTATCTTCCCTCTCGAAGGGAATTTCGGTAAATTTAAGGGGATTGTCTTTTGTCTAGATCACATCCAGATAGGACAGTAGTCTGGATCTTTTGTTAAAAGAAATTGCTTTCATCTTTTAAACCTTTATTCTTGTTTCAGTTAATATAACTTGCTTTGTTCAAGAAAATTGCTGAAATGAAAATAAAGGTTTGAGTTAAATATGTCTTCAAATAGCAATCATGTCTGTATATCTATCTTTTTGTGAAGTCTCGATACATTTTGAACTTAATGAAATGAAAAGCTTCTCCAGTATTTGCTATTTGTTTATTACTTATGTTCTATTCTATTTTCAGATGGCCACAAATAAAATCCTTTGACCCTTTGGATGTCACCATTTTGGAATTCGATGGCTGCAATCTCGATATCTCTCATGAGCTTGAAATCATGCAATCTGAAATTCAAAGCGAGAGCGATACCGAGGAAGAATTTGAGTCTATTTCAAGGGATTTAAAACAGTATGAAGAGAAACCCAAACCCAACTTAGAAGAAACAGAAATCATCAATATTGGCACTAAGACGGAGGTTAAAGAAGTTAAAGTCAGCATTCATTTGAATAGGAAACAAAAGGAGGAAATGATTGAATTCTTAATGTTTTTTCAAGATGTGTTCGCATGGTCATACGACGATATGCCAGGGATCTCTACAGACATAGTGGTTCACAGGTTGCCAACCGATCCAAATTTTTTACCTGTAAAGCAGAAGCCACGTAAATTCAAACCAGAAATGAGTCTCCAAATAAATGAACAAATTGTGAAGCAGCTCAATGCTAAGATAATCATGGTGTCTCATTATCCCATCTGGTTGTCGAATCCTGTGCCAGTGCCTAAGAAATCTGGGGAGGTGCGAGTATGTGTTGATTACAGAGATATGAATAAGGCCAGTCCGAAAGACGATTTTCCTTTGCCAAACATTCATATTCTTTTGGACAATACTGCTGGACACGAAATTGAATCTTTTGGTGATTATTTTACTGGGTATCATCAAATTTTAATGGCAGAAGAAGACAGAGAGAAAACCTCTTTTATCACCCCATGGGGAACTTTTTGTTATAGAGTGATGCCTTTCGGGTTGAAGAATGCTGGAGCCACTTATCAAAGGACCATGACTACCTTGTTCCATGACATGATTCACAAAGAGATGGAAGTCTATGTGGAT